TTCCCCATACTTATTCAATCTGTATGCTGAGCAAATAATCCGAAGAAATAATATGAATAATATGATAAGAAATAATATGAATAAGAATGTGGCATCAAGATTGGAGGAAGAATCATTAACAACCTACGATACGCTGACTACACAACTTTGCTTGCCAAAAGTGAGGATGACTTGAGGCACTTACTGATGAAGATTGAAGAATCCAGTCTGCAGTATGGATTATATCTCAATATAAAGTAAACAAAAATCCATATAACTGGTCCTATAAGCAACATCATGATAAATGGTGAAAAGATTGAAGTTGTCAATGACTTCACATTGCTTGATTCTACAACAACACCAATGGAAGCAGCAGTCAGGGCATTAGACAACATATGTTGTTGTTGTTGTTACATGCTGTCAAGTCACACCTGACTCATAGTGACCCCTCCTTGGGTTTCCAAGGCGGTATGACTACAGAAGTAGATTTCCCAACCTTCCTTCCCAGGAGTGACTGGTGGGTTTGAACCACCAGCCTTCTGGTTAGCAGTCAAGTGCCTTAGGCACTATGCTACCAGACCTCTGTATAGCACTGGGCAGGCTGGCTGCAAGGGACCTCTTCAAGTGCTAAGGAGCAAGGATGTCTCCTTGATGGCTAAGGTGTGCCTGACACAAACCATGATATTTTGAATTGTCTCATATGCATGTGAGAGCTGGACAATGAAAAAGGAAGACTGCAGAACAATTGATGCTTTGAGTTGTGGTGCTGGCAAAGAATGCAGAAAGTACCATGGCCTGCTAAAAGAACTAACAGATCTGTCCTCGAGGAAGTGTAGCCAAAATGCTCCTTGGAAGCGAGAATGGCCAGACTTCATCTCACCTACTTTGGTCATGTTGTCAGAAGGGACTAGTCCCTGGAGAACATGTCATACTTGGTAAGGTGGTGGGTGGACGAAAAAGGGGAAGGTCCTCACCAAAATGGATTGACACAGTGGCTGCAATGATGGGCTCAAGTATAGCAAGGATCATGGAGCTGGCACAGGACCAGGCAATGTTTCATTCTGTTGTACATAGGGTCGCTATGAGTCAGACATGACTCGATGGCACCTAACAAAACAGTGCCTCAGGTATCTATCTTTATGCATTCCATTTCAATTTTGACAACTTCCATTTTCCTAGAGTCATAGTTCATACATTCCATGTTCCAATTATTAATAGATGTTTGAAGCTGTTTCTCCTCAATTTGAGTCATGCCATGTCAGTGAAGGGAGGTCTCAAAAGCTTTACTTTATCCATATCAGTAAGGTTGGTTTTACTCTGATGCTGCAGCTCTTTCCCAGTTGTATTTTGAGAGCCTTCCAAGGGGCTCATCCTCCTGCAATGTATTGAACAATGTTTCCAGGCTATTTCTAAAGTTGCCTAGTGATGTTTCAGACAGTGTTTCTCTGCTATTCATAAGGTTTTCCTTGGCCAATTCCTTGAGAAGTGAATGGCCTCTTCCTTCTTCCTAGTCTGTCTCAGTCTGCAAGCTGTGCTGAAACCTGTGCACCATGTACAACCCTGCTGGTGTTTGAAACATCGGTGGCACAGTCTTAAGCTTCACAGCAACACGCAAGCCACCACAGTATGACAAACTGGCAGACAAGTTTGTCTCCCTGAGCTGTTCCAAACCTCTCTGCCCTCCCCTTACCTGGATCCCTGCTGCTTTCCTGCCTCTTAGGGGTGAGGCCTGGTTCCCTCCCATCACCTGGATCCCTGCTGATTGCTCACTCCATCCTGGTCCCTCTGGCTCTCACTTTTCTCAATAATCATACAAAAAACTAAAAACCAAACTCACTGCTGTCGAGTTGGACCCGACTCATAGTCACCCCTCCTTGGGTCTCCGAGGTGATATCACTAAGGAAGTAGATTGCCCAATCTTCCTTCTGAGGAGTGGCTGGTGGATATGGTTAGCAGTCAAATGTCTTAGGCACTGTGCCACCAGATCATAGAAGATGAAAATCAATGATTATAGAACCTCTCAGAATGAGTACTAAACAAAAACAATTTTAAGCACCCTAATTCTATTACCACTTCTGTATCATGGTAAATGTTGGGATTTGGGATCTCTTTCTTTTCTTTTTCATTCTTTTTTTTTTAAAATCTTGAGTTTTACCTTAGAATCTCCGGATACCTTGAATATCTCTCCAACAACGTTAGTAGCAGAAGTGATGTTATCAGCAGTTAATTTATTAGTATCAGATGTTAAAATCTGGACTTCCTGAGAAATATTCCCTGCATCTTGTGAGATGTTTTTTGTCTGTACCTTTAGGGGAAAAAACAACAACAACAATAACAATACCTCGCTTTATACAAGTATGTCTAAACACTTTGCAAGCAACTGCAAATAAATAAGTTGGAACTTACCTGAGTCTCAGTTTTCTGAACATCACATGCACTCATTTTTTCATACGTTTGTTTCCTTCCTTTCATAAATGACAAAGTACATGCAGGCCAGTGGTTTTCCCAGCCTTTACATGTGGCAAAAGTAATTAACCGTAATGAACTGCCTTAGCTGGACCAGCGCTACTCAAAGTTTGGTTCATGGACCAATGTCAGTGTTCTGTTTGTTGTAAGTCCACCAGGAGAAAAGCACAGAAACTGAGAGTAAGTGTTCTGAAACTCATATAGCATTTTTAGTTTTTGCGGAAAAGAAAGAAAATTCTTTTTTTTTTTTCATTGTTGTTGTAAATGTATATATAACACAACATTGCCAATTCAACATTTTTCACATGTCAAATTTAGTGACACCAATTACATTAACCGTATTGTACAACCATCACCAATACCCATCGCCAGATTTTCTATTACCATAAGCAGAAACTCAGTAACTCAATACTTCCTTAATGATGTGTTCTGGTTACCTAGTGCCGTTCTGACAAGAATGTTGTTGTTGTTGTTATTTGCCGTCAAGTCGCCCCCGACTCATAGCGACCCCTCCTTGGGTTTCTGAGCCAGTATCACTACGGAAGTAGGATTGCCCAACCT